GGGGGGGGTTTGTGGTGAAATACGCGGCCCGACGAAAAACTATATACTAGCCAGATGGGCATCTTCCCCAGTGGAAACGGGCAACTCTGTGCGAGACGCGTATTGACATTTTTTATTTGATTTTATTTTTTATATATTTTGTTCTAGAAAAATGAGAACCCGTCCGTTCGCTTCCAAGGTTGTTTGACACGAAAATTCTTCAGCCTCGAATGCGACGTTGGGGAGAGACTAGTCCCCTCACTTGGGAGCCGTACAGGCATTTGATTCATAACTACCCAAGGATGGGCAGAACAAAAACCCCGGAATTATGGAGTCAAAATGGGCTTCAGGATAGGTGCGTCGCTCGTGAGGATGCTAAAACAGGGCTGCTGGTCAACTAATGGCCAGTTAGCTAGCTAAACTAATAATAACTAAGTTATTCACTAGTTAAGTTGAGCAGTTAAACTATTATCTGTAACTCACTAACTAACTAACCGGCAGGATTTTAATAACTAATCAGTTTATTTTAGTAACCTAGAAAACTAAGTTAAGTGGTTTCTCCGCGTTTCCTTTTGACTGGGTTGTCATTCAATGAATGATCCTCGTCACTAACCCCATCAACCGCCAGCATATGTTGTTGATGTCAGACACTTCTCCACTCTCTAGATTTCTGAACTTCACATGCCCCCCAAGACCATTATCCATTCCAAATCAATCAATCTCTCCTTGACATCTCCCTGCCTGGGCTTCTGTAGCTTCTTCTTTGTCTATCTCATCTTATCGCGCGCGCTCTCTCCACCTCTGCCTCTGTATAACTAACTGTCTCCGGGCCTTGATTTTCTGCTGTTCCCACCGCCTCCAACAAACCTTGGGGTACACACCCACACAACAACAGACACTCACTCACAAACAACGCCAACCACCCAATCTCAATTCCCCCAGCCGCTGGGTTAGCATCTTGTATCTCGTCTCATATCTCTCTCGCTATTCCTCCGCTGCCTCCTGTGCCCTGTTGTGCACCTAGGGATGGCTGCCAGGGTTGCCCCATCCTCATCCTCTACCCCCTCCTTCTCCTCGCTGCCGACTCTTCACCATTCACACTCGCACTCACATCTGCATTCTCACTCTCACCGCCACCAGCCCGTCCAACCCCACGACGCCAATAACATCCCCAATAACTCCCCACCGAATCCCACCACCAAGAATAGGACCAGCCCCCAATTCAATAATTATCCCCAACACAAAACGCCACCCCCGGATTCTCCCCGCGAAAATCGACCTCCCCCGCCCCGCAGCACCGTCGTGGATACCAGGCCTGCGATCCGTGTCGCAAAAGAAAAAACCGCTGTGACTTGGGAAGAAGAGTGTCTGTTTCTATTTCTATTTAAAATAATATACGCGTCGTATAAA